ACATATAAAGACATTGAGCGGGACATTTAAGGTGAAATTGTAAAAAAAAAAAATTCATTTCGTTTTGTTTTACTGTATTTCATTTTGTTTTGCGCTGTTTTGTTTCATTTTGTTCTGTTTCTATTTCGTTTCGCACTTTAAATAAAATAAATGCACGAAATACAATTATCATTTATTCATTTTTCTGTATTAATAGTTCCACTCGCTTTACAAAAAAAACGGGCGGTATATAGTAATTGGGAGTCGTACATCTTTTATAAGATTACACTTTTGTATCCACAAATGCTCCCTAACCGACTTGAATAGTGTGTGATTTTTAACAATAACGTTTAAATCTTGCTAAATAATGTAAACGGTATTATTTACTGTTTTATGACTTAAATGATACATTAATGATGGCGATTTTTTTAAAATATCAGCTTATAATTTATTCCTTATGAAATATAGAAATATCTCGTTATAAATGATGTGTCATGTTTTTGATTAAGATTCGGATCCAATTGATATTCGTGTGCATTAAAATATCTTTACAAGCAAAGAGCATTTAAGTCAAGAATGATGTAATATAGTTTTATTTGATAACATATAACTTCTTTATTTCTAAAGAAATAAAAAAAAATCCTCGTTTTAAAAAATGTTTGACTTGCATTAAACCTAAAATAGGGTTCACAGACATCGGTATACTTTGAAGACAACCTGAGTGCTTTAAGAATATTTAAACGAAGTTCTTGAGGGTCTATACTTTGAAATTCTTAATTTAATTTAAAATGTAATGCATGTATATGTTTAATGCAACTTAAATTACTTTTCTTTTTTTAAACGAGAAAACGATACAAAGGGGCATTTAGAACACATAAGTCGAAGAAAAAAGACTCCACCATGGTCAAAAGAAAAACGACAAAAATACGAACAAAGTCCACAAAAACTCCACAAAGAAACATAGAGTTCATTTCTCCATGACGATAAAAAAAATCAACTGATTTTGACGAATCATGGTATATGTTTTCCAATTATAATAGTAAAGTTTAAATAATTGAGACTTCTGATAAATAAGGACAATTTGACAAACCACAATGTAAATTCAATCCAGTTGTCGCTAACAATAGTCGAAAGTTAATACTTGGTGCCTGACGGTAAAAGGGGATTCAACCATCTTTAAAGATTTCTAGGATCACTTATTACAACACGGGCCCATGTATGTAAAGAGGAATATATATATGCTTTATACCGTATAGCGGGTTATTTTCGCGGGTGTAAAATTTCACGATTCAAGGGCAATAAAGTATACGAACAATTTTGGGGGTTTTTATTTTGGTGGATTCTTAAATCCCAATTAATTATTTTGGCGGATACTGAAATTGTTGTAGTTAAAAGATTGTAAAACAAGTGTCTATTGTTCATGTTGTTATGGTTTACTGATTTTTTTACCTGAATGCCATGCATCTTAATTATTGATTATATTCTGATACAGTTAATAAATAAAATACCAATGACTTAGATATTTGCTACAGGTATTCAAACGTCTTGTAAATTTTACAGTTGATTAGTTACGAAAATGACCGGAACTTTGATGTACTTACTAATTAGGTTACAAAATTATCATGAGTGTTTACAACTCTTATATAGTTTGACACTAATTAATAAGGGTAATTACATGACAAAACTACCTTACTCTCTTATTAAAATTGACACTTACACGACGGGTGCCACATGTGGAGCAGGATCTGCTTACCCTTCCGGAGCACCTGAGATCACCCCCAGTTTTTGGTGGGGTTCGTGTTGCTTAGTCTTGAGTTTTCTATGTTGTGTCATCTGTACTATTGTTTTTTTTATTTTTGGCCATGGCGTTGTCAGTTTATTTTAGATCTGTGAGTTTGACTGTCCCTCTGGTATCTTTCGTCCCTCTTTTATTAATAAGGGTATACACACCTGACAGTCATTTTATAAAATACATGTATGTACAATGCCATTTGGCATTTATGTTGTTAAAAGCAACATATACTGTTATTGACTTGACGACCGAAAAAAATAGATTGTTTACAAAATGCTTTAGCTATTTGAAAGTACCAAACATATGCATAAATTTTCGCGGAATTTATTTTCGTGGTTTTCGTTTATCTGCCAAAATAAGCGAAAATAACCAGCTATACAGTATTTTCATTGCATTGAAAGACATTTGTTGTTTTATTTTTCTAATTGATCTCGTTAGGTCGTTATAAAACAATTTATAGTAACAGAACTTATTGAAATGCATCAAACTGACAAGTTGTCACAGCAAGCTAAGATGGCCAGTTGGGGGAAACTGAGAAGAAAAAAATCTAGATAAAAACTCTTAACTTTAGTTTAAGTGAATGGATCTCTATGAAATTTTACCATAAGGTTCAATACCACAAAAGGAAGGTTGGGATTGATTTTGGGGGTTATGGTACCAACAGTAAAAGACTAAGGGGCCAAAAACAAGCATTTTTATACGACCGCAAAAAAAATTTTGTGGTCGTATATTGGTATGACGTTGGCGTTGGCGTCGTCGTTGTCGTTGTCGTCGTCATCATCGTCCAGCGTCGTCCGAGGACAAATTGGTTTTCGCACTCTAACTTAAGTTTAAGTAAATGGATCTCTATGAAATTTTACCATAAGGTTCAATACCACAAAAGGAAGGTTGGGATTGATTTTGGGGGTTATGGTACTAACAGTTAAGGAATTAGGGGCCAAAAAGGGGCCAAAAATAAGCATTTTTGTAACTTCCAGACATAACTTGTGTTAGTGTATGGATCTCTCTGACATTGTACCACAAGGTTCCATATCACAAAGGGAATGCTGGGATTGATTTTGAGGGTAATTGCCTCAAAATTTTAGGAATTAGGGGCCAAAAATGGGGCAAAAAAACAAGCATTTTTCTAATTTCATGACAATAACTTGTGTGTAAGTGTATGGATCTTTCTGAAATTGTACTACAAGGTTCCATATCACAAAGGGAAAGCTGGAATTGAGTTTGGGGGTAATTGCCCAAAACGTTTAGGAATAAGGGGCCAAAAATAAGCATTTTTCTAGTTTCCAGACAATAACTTGTGTTCAAGTGTATGGATCTCTCTGAAATTGTACTGCAAGGTACCATACCACAAAGGGAAGGCTGGGATTGATTTTGGGGGTACTGTAAATTCAGAATTTTTTGCGATGTTTTTATTATTGCGAAAAATGTGACAGGGTTATAATCGCAATAATTTAAACTCGCATTTTGAAATTTTTTATATGAATTAAACAAGATTTTTCTCAATATCGCAAAAATTAAAAACACATTTTAGTCTAAAATGACAAAATCGCATTAATAAATGCATGCAATAATTTCTGAATTTACAGTAATTGCCTCAAAATTTTAGGAATTGGGGACCAAAAAGGGGCAAAAAAACTAGCATTTTTCTAGTTTCAGGACAATAACTTGTGTGTAAGTGTATGGATCTTTATGAAATTGTACTACAAGGTTCCATATCACAAAGGGAAAGCTGGGTTTGAGTTTGGGGGTAATTGCCCTAAACGTTAAGGAATTTGGGGCCAAAAAGGGGCCAAAAAACAAGCATTTTTCTAGTTTCCAGACAATAACTTGTGTTCAAGTGTATGGATCTCTTTGAAATTGTACTGCAAGGTACCATACCACAAAGGGAAGGCTGGGATTGAGTTTGGGGGTGATGAATCTTTAGGGGGTTCAAAAAATTTGAGGAGGGATTTTTTTTTTCAATTTTTTTCTTTAAAATTTTCCATTTTAAATTGGTTTTTTCTGATTTATATATAAAAGCAAATAATAATGATATGGTTTGAATAGGTAAATTAAAATTTTTTAAGTTCTTAGACCACATTCATTCTGTGTCAGAAACCTATGCTGTGTCAAATATTTAATCACAATCCAAATTCAGTGCTGTATCAAGCTTGAATGTTGTGTCTATACTTGCCCCAACTGTTCAGGGTTCAACCTCTGCGGTCGTATCAAGCTGCGCCCAGCGGAGCATTTTATTTTAACTTCCAGACATAACTCGTGTGTTAGTTTATGGATCTCTCTGACATTGTACCACAAGGTTCCATATCACAAAGGGAATGCTGGGATTGATTTTGGGGGTAATTGCCTCAAAATTTTAGGAATTAGGGGCCAAAAAAAAGGGCAAAAAACAAGCATTTTTCTAGTTTCATGACATTAACTTGTGTTTAAGTGTATGGATCTTTCTGAAATTGTACTACAAGGTTCCATATCACAAAGGGAAAGCTGGAATTGAGTTTGGGGGTAATTGCCCAAAATGTTTAGCAAAAAGGGGCCAAAAATAAGAAATTTTCTAGTTTCCAGACAATAACTTGTGTTCAAGGGTATGGATCTCTCTGAAATTGTACTGCAAGGTACCATACCACAAAAGGAAGGCTGGGATTGATTTTGGGGGTAATTGCCTCAAAATGTTAGGAATAAGGGGCCAAAAAGTGGCAAAAAACAAGCCTTTTTCTAGTTTCAGGACAATAACTTGTGTGTAAGTGTATGGATCTTTATGAAATTGTACTACAAGGTTCCATATCACACAGGGAAAGCTGGTTTGAGTTTGGGGGTAGTTGCACTAAATGTTTAGCAAAAAGGGGCCAAAAATAAGAAATTTTCTAGTTTCGAGACAATAACTTGTGTTCAAGTGTATGGATCTCTCTGAAATTGTACTGCAAGGTACCATACCACAAAGGGAAGGATGGGATTGAGTTTGGGGGTGATGAATCACAAGGGGGTTCAAAAAATTTGGGGGGGGGATTTTTTTTCATTTTTTGTTCTTTAAAATTTTCCATTTTGAATTGGTTATTTCTGATTTATATATAAAATCAAATAATAATGATGTGGTTTGAATAGGTAAATTAAAAAATTTTAAAGTTCTTAGACCACATTCATTCTGTGTCACTTGTTTAATTGCAGCATTGGTGAGAATATAAAGTTGCTGTTATGCAAAATGGTTTTCTATATATTTAGTTTTGTTTGATTGCAGTATTGGTGAGAATATCAAGTTACTGTTAGACAGACCAGATGGAACTTACTGCTTCAGACTTCACAAAGACAGAGTTTTCTATGTCAGGTATACAAATTACCCATTGATATACATGATATACATGATATACAAACCAACATATTAAACTTCTACATTTTTTCTTCTGAAGATATCTACAATATACTTTAGTTGGTCATATACAACTACATGTATCCTCGTCTCATGGGTTTTCGTGCTATTAAGAATGCATTGTGACGTCAAAATTTCCATTGAAAAAGCATGCATAGTACGAATTCATATAATGTATGAAAATATATGATCTGACCATATGTATATACACATTCAAAACGACTGTTAAAGTTTTCTAATGAAGAAAAAATGAAGATGCATCATGGGTAGATAAAAGACAATTGTAAAAAAGTCAGAACTCAATGACATCCTGAATAATCTACATCATCAACTTTAAAAAAAATACTTTTAAGGACTTACATAAAAATTAACTCTACAAAAATTGACATCTATAAACTGTATGGTAATATGACTCAACTGAAAATAGAAATGTATATGTCTGTTTTCCATTGAGTACTTCAAACATGAATTAAAGTAATTATCCCCTGTCCCAGAGGGCAAGTGAAAGAGAAAAATTACTAGTATCCTAGTATTCTTTTTGAAAAAGTATATATGTCATAAGTTTTAATAAGTAAGTAAGTAAATTTTATTTCCAGTCAGCATATATTTATAAACAACAATAAATAGGCTTAAGTAAGTTCTTACAATTGACAATAACATATATATACAAAGGCTCTTGAAAGCATTACCGTACAAGGTTTCAAATAGGACACGTACATATAAGCATCAAAATGTTAGCACATATAATTTTTAAAATAAGATAAATGCAAATAAACATCAGAGTCTCTTTTCACAAAAAATCTTAAGAGTAAAAGTACTTGTAAGTCATACACAATTCAATATAACTTAAGATCAGTTTTAATCATAGATTTTTGTGAAAAGAGTCGCAGATTAATATAAAACTTAATAAAGTTTGAGTTATTGCCTGTTGAAATGTAGAAATTCAAATTTAAAAAATTAGAATGGTAAGAACAAGTTTTCAATTATTCTAGAACACTGAAAATCTAAGTTTTCTTTACATAAATATTTTTGAATATTTGTACAATGACAAAGATTAAAAAAATGTCCTTGCATTATAGAGAAGAGATAATGAAGTTGGCAGGAAACATTGCCAGGAAGAATCTAATCAGTATGGGAACATGCTTTGGTAAATTTACTGGATCACAGAAATTCAAACTACACATTACAGCTCTAGATTTTATTGCACCATATGCTAAGGTAAATTCACTAATGTGTTGTTGTTTTTAATGGGGTCTTGTACATGTGTAAGATATCATTCTAGTTTGTCATATGTATTTTTAGTATCAAGACACATATATATTAAGGGACATTCAACTCTTTTCCTGTTAGATCTGGATAATTAATAAATGGAATTTTTTTACTGTTACAGTCGACATAGATTTTCAAGTTGTAAGGGAAAAATAAGTATAAATAAGAAGATGTGGTATGAGTGCCAATGAGACAACTCTCCATCCAAGTCAAAATGTATAAAAAGTTAACAATTATAGGTCAAAGTACAGCTACCAACACAGAGCCTTGGCTCACACCAAATAAGGTCTGTTAGTTGTAAAGTTGTTCTTGTTGAGTACTGTTTTGTTTATTGACTATTTTATGTTTTTGAATGATAAGTAGAAGACTGCATAAACAAATATTTTGAAATTATTACAATTATTAACATGAACCACAAACTGCAGGTACAGGGATTTGATGAGTTTTACAGATGTAATCAACTTTACAAATAGGAAATAAGCATACATTCCTTGTTGAATCCAAAACAAAGTTTATAACTTTTCCTGCCTCCTGGTAGAAAAAAAAATAGGGTAGGTAGATAGTAAACAAATATTTATTTTTTTTTAACATAGATTATGAATTGAAAAGTTCTTAACTTAAATAGTGTTTAACCAAAATGTCCGTAAAATAAGTTAGGGAAAGTATGAAAATCCAAGGAAGGTAGGTAGGCAGGAAACATAACTATCTTTTTGGACCAAACAAGACTGAGGCTGGTCGAGTTAACTCCCATGTTAAATCATTTTGAATGAAAAGGAGTTTCTTTAAATATCCCAAATAAAGTCTGCAGTAGTTTTTGTGTTCTTTATTTTTAGTTTAAAGTATGGGTAAAACCAAGTGCAGAACAACAGTTTGTTTATGGACATCATGTAATGAAATCAGGTCTTGGAAGAATTACAGAAAATACTCCACAGTATCAAGGTGTCATTGTGTACAGCATGAATGATCTCCCCTTGGTAAGTTAAAATTTTATCCCTGAACTATAAAATTGAGAATGGAAATTGGGAATATGTCAAAGAGACAACAACCCGACCAAAGAGCAGACAACAGCCAAAGTACAATCCCTCCCGTTAGGGATTTAGTATCATACCATCATAAAATATATGAGAAGAACATAACCCGTATCATGCCAACAACTGGTTTTAGAATAAATGTGTTTATTTCCGATGCAAAGACCCTATGAGTGAATCAATATTAATACCAAAATATGCAATCCTTAATGACTTGACAACAGTATCGTAACTATATCCTTTCCGAATAAGTCTATTTAAAGGTTTGGTTAGCTTTTGAGGTGAATGCCAACATTTTTGTGCTTTGTAAAGAATATTACTATAAAATATTGGATGTGAAATACCTGAACGTATAAGATGTCTGCATGTTGATTTATATTTAAGAATGATGTCCTTGTACCGATGATAAAATTTAGTAAATGTTTTGACTAGTTTGTGACATCGAAAACCCTGGTGTAATAATTTTTCAGTAATACAGAGATTTCTTTCGCTGAAATCAAATACATTGTTACATACACGAGTGAATTGAACAAGTTGAGATATATAAACACCATAAGATGGAGACAAGGGAACGTCACCATCTAAAAATGGATAATTAACAATAGGAAATGAAAAAATCATCTCTTTTATCATAAATGTTGGTATTAAGTTTCCCGTTAAAATAAAGATATCAAGATCCAGGAAAGGGCAGTGTTCATTGTTAGTATTAGCTTTATTTAAAGTCAGTTCGGCAGGGTAAATCTCTTTAGTGTACATACTGAAGTCGCCATTATTGAGAGCCAATATATCATCCAAATATCTAAAAGTGTTGTTAAATTTTTGAATCAGATGTTGTTTCTTTGCTGATTTTAGTCATAAATTGTAACTCATAACAATACAGAAACAGGTCCGCAATAAGTGGTGCACAGTTAGTCCCCATGAGAATTCCGATAACCTGACGATATACATTATACATTATTGTTATGGGGATTTTCTTGCTGCGTTGAAGACCTATTGGTGGCCTTGGGCTGTTTTCTGCTCTTTTGTCGAGTTGTAGTCTCTTTAACACATTCCCTGTTTCCCTTCTCAATTCTATTATAAGGAGTAAATATAAAACTAAAGGAATATTCAATGAATCTAAGATGATGAATGATCTGGTCTTTGTATGAAAATCTAATGTGAGCTGCATCGGATAGAAATTGACCTTATGCAAGTGCACATACACATGTAAATGTATAAGGCTTTAGTTTGTTTTAGAACATTCAAATACGAAATGAAAGATGAATGTTGGTCTGTTTTGTAGGGTTCTTATAACAAATTAATTTGTAAACAGTTACATACTTTCCGTAGAGATTTTTTCCACCCGAAATAGGTTTACAGATGTATTGATATTTGTTTGCATAAGGTCAATTTCTATCCGACTCAGCTCATGTGATAAAGGCACCAAATTGAGTTCTCAAACTTTTCCAAGACATATTTTATTTGTGCCAGTAAACCTTATCAACTTTAAAAAAAACAACTATTGGTCTGTAACCTACTGTTGTGATGTTAAAAAGTGATGTAAAAAGCTTCAAGAAAACCTTTTATTCCTTCAATTGCATACACATTGAAATGTGATTTATTTTTGCTGATGGAAACATACCTCACTTCACAAGTTTAAATGTGATAACTTAATATCAACTTTTTCAAAAATTGCCACCATGACTCTTATCATAAGATTTCTAGTGTGATTAAAATTTTTCCCACACACTGTACTGATTGTTACCGAAATCACGTTCTTAGCCGAATTTAACTTATTTTCCCAAATTAAAATATCAATAAGTACACATCACACATCCAAAGGATTATTAATTGTAAAGATGAAATAAACAGGCTGAAAAATGTTTTCTCCCTTCTTAAAATTGTCAACTTCTTGTTTAATGTTGACAATATGGCTGCTCACCATGAATCATAAAATGCTATTTGAAATCCAAGAAATCCTCTTTTATTATGGATTTAAAATAATCCTTTACTCCTTTCCATTGAAGTTCGGATATAAATAGTCCTGTCAATGAATTATTTTGTGTTTCATTGAACTGGTTCCTTGATATTTCACATCATTAGCTAGGTAAAATAAACAATCTTAGACTAGCTATAGTCAAACAAAGTGATCACATGATCGAAATTGTACAGGTAAGCACAGGAAATATAAAACTTGACAAAATAAATAACACTGAATAGATAAGATAGTTCTGTGGTCTGTCCATTAGAATAGTGTTGAAATGCAACAACACTGTAGAAAGCAGCACTAAATAAAGGCAACAGTAGTATACCGCTGTTTGAAACTCATAAATCGATAGAGATAAAAACAAATCTGGGTTGCAAACTAAAACTGAAGGAAACGCATCAAATATAAGAGGAGAACAAAGACACAACGAAAACACAACATTAAAATGTAACACACACAAAAACGAACTATAATATAACAATGGCCATTTTCCTGACTTGGTACAGGACATTTTAAGAAAAAAATGGTGGGTTGAACCTGGTTTTGTGGCATGCCAAACCTCCCGCTTTTATGGCAACGTCAAACACAACACCAAAACGACAACATCACATGACAGGACCACAATACCAATAAATGGGAGAACATAAAGGACAAAGAAACACACGAATAATAGCTAACAAAAGGTACTAGGCTTAAAATTCAATACGCCAGACGTGCGTCTCGTCCACACAAGACCAACCAGTGACGCTCAGATGAAAAAAGTTTGAAAGCCAAAACAAGTATAAAGCTGAAGAGCACCGAGGACAAAAAAGTCGCGCCTAACACGGCCAGGGTTTTCTGCCTTGGACAAGAACATCCTTATTATTTAGAATAATATAATTTTGCAAACAGGAAAAAGTCTAGGGAGAACACAGTGATGTAGAATCATCTAAAAAAAATAAAAATCATAAGATTAAGTAAAGCTGTTTGGAGGGTTAAATAACTATTAGATATGATTTTGTCTACATTCTGTAGTAGATTATTGATAAAAACAAATTTGTGATCTTTTAGGGTTTTGGTGTAGCAGCAAAAACAACACAGGAGTGTAGGAGAGCAGATCCTATGGCCATTGTTTCATTTCATCAATCTGACATTGGAGAATATATCAGATCAGAAGAAAAATTATTATAGTATTGATCAAATGTTCTGTTTATTATTTATTATTACAAAAACCACAATTATAGTGACTGGCCTTAATACATAGTTAGGTGGCAGTTGTTGTTTTCAATAATTTGGTGTGGTGTTGATGGGAGATCTTTGGTGGTCTGTTTAGATTTTATTCACATCTTGTCTAGACTCAGGGTCAGTATGAACTTACAGTATGTATATATTCATATAATCATATTACTGTTTCGTGAAATTGATACAAAAATTACAGAACATCTTCAGTTTTTGTCTTGCCTCAGACTTAGACATGCTGTGTTGGCATTTTCAACAATCATGACAATGTAAAAGTTTGTGATAAGGTCAGTTTATGGGAAACCACTTATGGTGGGTCATTACTATTAGGTTTTCAGTTGTATTAGCATTGGCACGTCTCATTTCCATTGAGAAAAGGGTCCACCCCCTCAGTCATGGTCTCTTGCCTTGAAACTGTTGTTTTGTAAATACATGTTTAAGTTTGAGATTAAGTTAGTTTATGATGAACCACGAATGGTAATTCATAGAACTGTTATTGTGACTAAATTTGATATCTACCTTTGTAAGTAGAACATGGTATCCTTAATGAAATTTTGTTTAAAATTTATTTGTTATCTGCCAATTGTAAAATTTGCCATTAAAATACATAAACATTAAACACATCATAGTAGAATATGACATCATAAAATTTTGCTCTCTTACAAATATGTATTCCAAAGGTATGCCAATAACTTAATTTTATTTGATATGGGCAAAACAAATTTTAGTGTGAAAATTATGAATGTGACTTCAACAATTCCTTGTTATCCATATTTTTCATGAATATGTTCAAAATGTTTTACTCCCCTATTTTTCTTTGATACCCATGTAGTGCTTCCACAGAATATTTAAGAACAAGGGTATGTGCTAATTAAACAAATATCCACCACAAACTCGAGGATGTGGATTTAAACAAATGTAGGTCACTGTACAGCCTTCAACAACTGAGCATAACCCATACCCTATAGTAAGCTATTAAAGGCCATTGCATGACAAAAGTTAACTTAATAGGCTTATGAAAACATCATTAGATGTGGGATTTAAAAATCATGATTTAGGATTAATGCATTAGATATCAATAGAAAATATGGTTTCATTAAGCACTAAATTTCAGGTTATGCTTGTATCATGAAATTCTGGAAAATGATCATTTTTTTCTGTATTGCTTTATTTGCATTATAAAAAAATTGGAGCATCTAGTAATAGCTTTGTCTGTCATTTTGTCTTTCTTTCCGTCTGTCTGTTCTTCTGTGTTTCCGAAAACAACTTGTTTCCAGATGATAACTTTAGTCTCCCCTACTGGATTGGAATGAAACATACACAGATTGAAGATAAAGGAAAGGAGAAGCCTGTTGATTTTGGTCAAGGGCACTTTATAAAAAATTACTTAAAATTCCAAAACAATGGTTTCTGAATGTTAACTAGAGTTACTCTTGCTTGACTTAAATGAAACTATACAGACAGAAAATATTGAGAAGGAAAAAAAAGCTTTATACCAATTTTGAAATCAAAGGTCACTGGTACTATAAATAGATTTTATTTTGGGAAAAATGATTTCTGAATGGTAACTAAAGTTACGGATGACGGTATAGGAAAGGAAGAAACACTTTTAAATTTGGGGTAAATATGTCAATGGTCAATTGCACTGTTACAAAAAAGAGAGAATTGGACAAAAATGGTTTCCAGATGGAAGCTTCAGTTTCCCTTGCTTGATTGGAATGAAACTTGTACAGTTGAAAAAAGGAAGGGAAAAGAAATTATTGCATTTGAGGTCCAAGGTCACTGTTACTACAAATAGATTTTATTTTGGAAAAATAGTTTCCAGATATTAACTTAGAGTTTCCCTTGCTTGATTGGAATGAAACATGCAGATGAAGGTATAGGGAAGGGGGGAAAAGCTTTTGAATTTAGGGTAAAAATGTTGGTGGTCAATTGCACTGTTTCAAAAAAAAAAAAGAATTGGACAAAAAATGGTTTCCAGGTGGTAGCTTCAGTTTCCTTTGCTTGATTGGAATGAAACTAATACGAATGGAAAATACAGAAAGGGAAAAGTAATCTATTGATTTTGGGGTCAACAGGTCAAAGGTGGCTTACTGAAAAATAATTTTGTTTTAATATTGGTTTCAGGATGTTATTCCGCTATGAAAAGTATGACATTTACACAGGTAAATAAAGGCAACAGTAGTATACCGCTGTTCAAAAGTCATAAATCGATTAAGAGAAAACAAATCCGGGTAAAAAATTTGCAATAGACATACATATTTCTTTGTACCTATATGTGCATTTCAGTGAACACCAGTCTGCTTTTTACTTGTTTGTTCCTATAAATCTGTGAATGAATGCCCCTTGCAGACATGTCAGTTCTATAGTTTATTTTGTTACCATAGAAGCCTTTAAATCATTTAGACTTTTTAGCTCACCTTGTCAAAAGGGCCAGTGTGTGTTTCCCACCACATTCGTCGCATTGGTAGTGAACTCCTGTAGTTGTATGTTTGCCGATGATGTAAATTACTAGATTACTGTATGACCTTCAGAAAGTAAATATCCATCCCACATTTGACCTGATCTAATATTTGCATTAAAGTCGTCAATATTTTGCATGAAGAGCCTTGCTTGATATTCTCTTCTAAGTAAACGTGGACCTCAGTTTCGAATTTTTTTTCACAGTGTAAAAACTGATGTATTGAATAGGTGAAATTATATTGGTTGCCATGGCATTACCGTCTGTCGAATTATATGCTTTGACATACAAGTAACGCTTCATACCTGTCGGGTATTGTTTTTGTATCCTTTTATTTTAATTTCATCTTGTGATGAATCTTCTTATTACAATAGGCAAAGAATATGTAACAAGGTTAATATATAAACCTGACAACACATGTACATCGCACGATTTGGTTACTAGCTATGTACATAGTACATCTTTTGTATATCTGATAAAAGAGAGGCGAAAGATACCAAAGGGACATTCAAACTCTAGTCGAAAATAAACTGACAACGCCATGGCTAAAAAAGAAAAACACCAACAGACAAACAATAGTACACAAAACACAACATAGAAAAATAAAGACTGAGCAACACGAACCCCACCAAAAACTGGGGGTGATCTTACTAGGTGCTCCGGAAGGGTAAGCAGATCCTGCTTCACATGTGGCACCCGTCGTGTTGCTCATGTTAGTACAAACCCGGTAATAAGTCTAAATCGGTAGGTCACATTCGGGGAAAAGGGGACGGGATTGTAGTTACGACATTTGGAACATATCCGCTATCAACTGTAAAACGGATATTCCATAACGGCCAACCAACTCTTGATGGCGTCCATAAAATTTACGAAGGGATGATGTTAACTTCACCGCTTGGAACTCTTGGTTTAATAGCTTCCTTGTGAGCAGCAAACCTCTATCAAGGAAATCATCATAGGAAAAACAAGCCCTGGAATATCGTATCAACTTGGAGATATATACCCCGTATGCAGGCGCTGCTGGAATGTTGCTACATAGAAATGGAAAGTTCACAATTGGAAAGCTGAGATCATCTCTTTTGTCTTAAAGTTTTGTTTTGAACCGACCCTCTTTATCAATTATAGATGTAAGCCAAGATATGAGGCAGACTTAACTGTATCTGTTGTATCCTTTATCTCAAGTTCGATGGGATGGATGCGTTCAACATAGTCACCAAATTTTGAATTATTTTGTGAGAGAACATCATCTATATAGCGGAAAGTAAGATGTTCCTTTATGAAGTCAGCCTCATATGAATAAAGTAACAAGTCGGCAAGAAGATCGAGGGACACAGTTGGTTCCTATGAGAATGCCGATTGTTTGTTGAAAAACACGTCCTCCAAAAGTAACAAATATGTTGTTAATCAAGAAACCAAGCATCTTGATAATGTAAGTTTCAGAAATTTTTTTTTAATTGGAGTGATTTTTTACAAAGTAGGATTTATCCCTCACTAAGACAAGATACTCGTTTCTACGTTGGCCATTTTTTTTATGAAACAAAGCAGGACCAACTCTTTCAATTTGTCTTTTAGTTTGGAATGGGGAAGTATTGTTATCATTTTATTTTAATTTCATCTCATCAGATATATCTACAAAAAAACCATCATACATGTATCATGGATGGAGAGTTGTCTCATTGGCACTCATACCACATCTTCCTATATCTATATAAGTTTAAATGCGTAAGATTACTGCGTATAGTTGCGATGAATCTGCTTATTACAATAGGCAAAGAATAATGTAACAAGGTTAATATATAAACCTGACAACACATGTACATCGCACGATTTGGTTACTAGCTATGTACATAGTACATCTTTTGTATATCTGATAAAAGTTATCACATAGAGATATAAAAATGCCTTTAAAACATTTGTACAAGGATTAGCAGATAGGTTATTCAAATATCATACAATTCCTTGATATTTAGTTCATAAAACATGCACAAAATGTTCTTAACTATTTATTTTCATATAAAGAAGTTAAATAATTAAAAATAAAAAAGGAATATTAACAGAACACTAATTTTGTCCGCATGATAATTTGTACTTGCATAAATGATACGGAATTTATCATTTCATTTAATTTCGGTTTTTCGTGATATTAATTTATGATTAGTGTTACTACTTACTAGCAATTAACCCAAAGATAAAAGTATAACGAATTCCTCATCTTAACATAGTTGCACCTTTTTACGAATGAATAACACCTAAGCCATATAGAATAAGAACTAATAACGGTAATTAATATGACCACTAAAATATTTACAACCAGTGCACGAGGACACTCAATCGCAACCGATAGAAAGTATTTGACAAATTAAACATATCCTTTAAAGGTCGTAATCAAGAAATGTATCTATTATAAGTGTGACCTTTCATAGTACCGACACTAGATGGCCGGATGGGTACATACTAGTTTATTGCATATGCTGTTATTTTTAGAACTTTAGTTTGTAGTTATGTATGCCGATGTTAATATGGATATGCAAGCAATGTAATGAAATCATACGTTATCATTTCCAGTAATTGAAATTTGCAGATACTTCGAGATGGATATGAAATAGGGTTATATTTTCGGAATAAATGGACGTTTCAACTAGTTCAAAATGGTTAAAGTTACATATTTATCAACTTTTCAGTCTGTTCAATGCGCATTATCATTAAATGATCGTAAATGAGGCAGGGTTGAGTGTCGTAGAGACCATAATATAAAAGGCGATTAAGTAGGAAAAATTGCTCCTACTACGCCTGTAAATGCTTTTTTGCTTATTTGCACGAAACAGTGAACGACAACCCTTTTACCGGAAAACTCGTGAAAAGAAACTACCAAACACCTGACTTCGGGTTCACCCTTTACCCAATTATAATTTAAATATTGGCTGTATTTCCAATAAGTGCACTGTAACTATGGCAACATAGCGTATTTCAAATAGGTGAGTTCAAACTGTTAAACAGCAAACATGACCTTTATTGAAATATCTACAAAAAGGCTTGTCGGACCAAAACCGGATTCCTGGTCAGAGTAACTGCGCTCAAACAGTTATTTTTGACCAATTTTTTGTGTGTGTGTATTACATGTATATATATATATCACGAAAAATATAATCGATAGGTAGAAACTGCATGTATACAGAAATATGGTGAGCTTTACAAGATCCAGAAAAATGCATATAAGATCAAAACCATTGGATTCCTTATAGGAGTTATTGCCCTTACATGACGGTTTTGAAAAAATCGTCACTAGTTTTGTCTATTAGGAATATAATTGAGAATTGAAACGGGGCCCTGAATGTGTCAAAAAGACAACAAGCCGACAAAAAAGCAGCCCAAGACCACCAATGGGTCCAATGGGCCTTCCACGCTGCGAGAAAATCCAGACGGGCTTCAACTGGCCCCTAAAGAATTATGTATACTAGTTCAGCGAAATAGATGCCACACTAAACTCAGAAACATATAAATGAACTAAAATTAAAAAAACAAACAAGACTAACAAAGGCTAAAGGTTCCTGACTTGGGACAGGCGCATACTTGCGGTGGGGTTAAACATGTTTTGTGAGATCTCAGCCCTCCCCTATACATCTAGCCAATGTGGAATAAACAAACATACAGCTATACGCATAGTAAAACTCAGTTTAAAAGAAGTCCGAGTCCTATGTTAGAATAGGTAACAGAAGAAACTAAACAAAATGACAATGATCAA